CTGTGTTGAGGGTCATTCAGTACCGCTACGCACTGAATCATCATCCGAATGAATTGACTCTGTCTGGCGTCTTATGTGGTATACCAATGGTTTTACTTCCCTCGAGGGCGGCTCAGAAGGAAGAGAATTTCCTGCTACAGGCGTGGGTGAGTCAGAACGCCTCGGGGCCTGAAACACTGGATTCCCTGGACGACTGGATTCCGTCTCAACTCCTGAGACAGAAGTGGCCTGGTTTAGGAAGACAGGTCCACGCTCGATTCCACGATAGTTCCGCATCCCGAGGGGACATACTACAGGAACGCTCGATGCCTTTGACGGCGTTTTCCTCGACTCCGCGGACGTATACTGCTCACCCTTATGTTCGAATAGTTACGTCACGATTTCGGTCCAGAGGCGCTGCTGGCGCTCGCTTGACATTCCGCACCCAGCGAGTCTTTTCATCGAAAATCGGGCCCTCCTAGTTGATTGCGCTGTACCGAAACCGAACTATGTCGCGGAGGTTGATGACCTTGCGGACGGCAGTGCTTGTGGACGGGATCTCCCGCGAGGTGGAGCCGCTCGAGGAATACACACTTATGCTTAATATCCGAACTGTCATCTGTTATCACTGGCCGAGACTCCCGAGATGCGGACGATCAGGACTGGCGAAGATGCCTTCTACGATGCGCATGGGTCATCTTCCCAAAGAATTCCCTCTGGAGTACATTGACCAACTCGTGACTTATCGCGAGAGGATTCATCGGTGGCGTCCCTTCTGGAAACTTCGACCAGTGTACTTCTACCTTGTCCACGAATCTCACGGGAATCTAGCGGTCAGCTCTCGTAAGGAGCTCTCTGAGGAGTCTATACGCACACATCTCCGACAGGAAGCCACGTGGGATGGCAAACCCGAATCATTCTTTCGGGAACCGAATACGATCCGTCTTCGATGGACGAAGGGAAGAGGAACGTTCTCTGGATGGGGGGATTCTGATCGGAAGAAGGAGAGCCATTCCCGAGAGGACCTGCGAGTCCGGGCTTGTTGGAAATGGGATTCCCCTGGTTTCGAGGTTCAGATGAGAAAGAGCATTCTCGAGCAGAAACGAAACGAAAAATCAGTAGAGAAACAAACAAGCCAGCCGATTTGTGTGTCAGCGGGTATGACGGAGCAAATAAACAATCAGACGAACAATACGGAGCGGAAAACCGAGAAGAAAAGTGGGGAGAATTCGCCAGTCGACCAAGGTCTAGCTGCGCACTCGGGTAGAACCGCAACGGAAGCTCAATGCTAGCTCCAGAGAGGATCTGGCGATAGGAGGTTCCACGCCGGCTGGACCACTCTCGATGGAACTGCACACTTGGGAACACATGGTATACTTGTTTCTCGAGAAGAGCCGCTCGTTCAGCCGACCAAGGAAGATCAAAAGCTGAGGATGAGTTTTAATGGCTTCAGCCAGTGTTCCCTTCGCTATAATAGAGAGGAGCTCTTTGCTTTCTTTCGAAGGTTTTCACTCCATCGTGTGAATCAGAAGAGGAATTTCTAATTCGACCAAGATCTTCGATAAGGTCAGAGCTCCCCTGGAATGCATCGAATATTCCCGCTCTCCCGAGACAGCGTCCCCTAGGAGCTCGTTCCGTCCTCGTCCCGGAAGACCTCAGGTCTCAAGTCCGTGGCATCGATCGCTGGTTCGATAAAATCGTGAAGGCCTCAGCAGCTCTGAAAAACCGCGCATATCCAACGTCGCGCCGCTTCGCTGTGGTAAACTGACCTGGAGCCTCCCTTCGTCATTCGATGAACTGACCACCCGAGCTCAGACAAGGTATTGCGTGACGCCCGCGGGACGAGGACCAGTTAGGGCTCCGGGGCATCGGACGAAAGCTACGTTATCGTTCTGTAAACCTCCTCAAGTCGGTGGAGCTCGTGGAGATGCATGGGAATATATTTCTCCGTTCTTTATTTGCTCTGAAATCGAGAGCTGGCAGTCGATGAGAAGTCACGCTGCGGCAGGGGGAGTAGAGGCTTGCTCACTAGGGGATTTGTTCTTCTCTCCGTTCAACGCAATTCGTAACACGGAAAACGTGTTTCGGAAACAATTCCGGCTGCGAGCAAAAGAAATGCCTGGAGTTTAGACTCCATGCTGCCACAGTAGTAACGAGAACGACGCCGCGTATTGTTGAGTGGTCCCAGCTTTCCGGCGAGGGAGGGAGGGTCGACGCACAGCGGAATACACAGGGTGGAGAGGGCAGAGGAACAAGCCAAGCATACGTTTTGGTTCCGTGTGCTGTACACGCATGGGGGATACGGTCTGCTATTCAGGGCGACCTCAGGCTTGGCTCACTGAACCCGTTGTCTCGAAGGGCTCGGCTCGTGTTATCTCTGGGCCACACTTTTGCCCCTGGGGACATCTATGTATTTACTTTTGTCCGCCTTTTATATCGACCAGCAATCGAGAGAGACTCGTGTTGACTACCTCAGTGCTCGCCCTGGCTGCTGGTCGGGGAAGAGAGTTTCCCTCATGCACCCATGCGAAAGCGTGCAGTGACTATTGGCTGAACAGCGTGCAGGAAAAATCTCAACCACCAAAACGAGTCCGTCCGCGAAGGGAGGCTTCCATGGCTCACGGGACGAGGAGACGAGCTCCTGCATCAAAGTAGGGACGCATTCGTCCTTCGCCCGAGTCAAGCTTGCTCGAAAGACACAATGTCATGCACGGAGCCATACCGGCGTCAGAGATGCCGTGAATAATGCTGAAAATTATACGAACACCTCGATGTATTCGAACGTGTCACGCCGTGTCGACCGTCGGTGTGAATCACAGCTTCGGCCTCACATGGAGGTTCCGATTGTGGCTCGTCCATGTCTAGCGATGTGGCTCACTCAGACGATCCAGAATGGATGCGTTCCCTGAATTTCCGGAGGGAATCGTTGGGAATCCGGGCACGTATATCCGTTCGGAGTTGCGTTTTTTGCCTGCGTTAGGAGAATAGAACTCCATCACATCCAGAGGGAGGTCCAGGAGCCTGAGGAGGCTTCCCGGAATTGCTGGGTGTCGGGTGATCGGCGACAGCGCGGAAGCGCTTCTCGCGGGATCGCGTCGCAATCTGGGCTAATTGTCGAGAATGGAACCGCCTTCCGCTGTCAGCAATTCGGAAATCTTTCGACGGCCGGGCGAGAGGCTGGAGACATCTCCGGCGACGACTGAATTGGACTCGGCAGTCTGAATACCCAATCGGCCGTCTAGATGTGACGTCTCGCAATTGGGGAGCGACACTTTAGGAAAGTCACATCGACTCGATCGCGTTCCTGAGGAGATTTCTCCAGATGTCACGCGAGACTCAGCACCGTGCCGCTCGAATTGAGTTCTCCTGATGCGTGTTCGTGGAAGGATGCCAATTCTTCTCCTGAACTCTGTTATCGGAAAGGGGAGGACGGCTTTCGGTGTCACTCCGCCGGAGCTCGTTCGTCAAAGTTCAAAAAGTGTTTAGGTAGCTTCGTTCTTCGGTCCCTCGCGGGAATCGGCATTTACCCTGGACGCGACCGTCGCTCCTCGAGTCATAAACGCATGAGACTATAAAGAATGATTATAAAGGATTACATCGAGTATAACGAATTCCTGAGAGGTTCCTCCGTCGAGCCCGTGAGCAGAATTTCACTGGTTTTTGTCCGCCGTCGGAGAGGCATTCCGCGATACGTGGCGCGCTGTGAGAGCGTCGGCTCCAAGCCTTTTATTACGGTGGGCTCGTTGCCAGTCATGATGACGGCGAGGCATTCGCTAATATCATTGAAAGGAACTTTGAGGAAATCTGGAAGAACTCACTTGTCCGTCTCCCCTGTCGAGTCGTAGCTTCCCGATTCTCCTGGGGCTCTCTCCCGTATCCCGAGCTGACTCGGGCAACCTCATCTTCGCACGAACATCATTCTCCGGGCTCTTTGATCGGCGCGGGCAGAGCTTATTCCGAGCCGAGAGCATGGGCAGAATACCTGCCTGGGACCGTCGATGCATAGGAAATTTCCGGAACCTAGTAATAGCAAAAGCACCAGCTTCCGACCGCCTATACTTCCTCGAGGATAGAATTTATGCTCTTTATCGGTGGTCTTTGCTGGCCTCTCACACAACCCACGTATCAATGTGTAGCTCCGACGTTCCCACTCATTGGTTCCACACTGGCGATACTCAAGAAACCCCATCCTGATCCCTACAGAGCACGACTGGCATAAGGAATACATATTTCCTTGATGCAGAAGCGTCCGTCTGGGTGAGACCTTCCACCTCGGTGATTTCGGAATCGGCATTCGGCTCGCTCGCTCCTCGGAAAAGTTCTAACGATGGCTCTCTCCGAAAAAGAAACTATCTCCCCGGAACGGGCGAGAATATGAGGGAGGTTGCCCGCCGGCCGATTCAGACGCTTGTGTAGCGACTCGCCCCGAACCCTTGATCAAGTCGAGAGAAGGGGGCAGTGCGAAGCGAAGGAACTTCTTCTCGTTCCGGCCGAATGTTTCAGTCGGGAGCATTGCGGGCAAGTTTATAGAATGAAAATTGATGGAGGAAGCCTCGTGAGCTGAGCCAACAGCACACCCTTGGCGTTTCCATTCCGATGATCACTCTCCGGAATCTTCTCCCGCCATGCCCTCTTCTCACTCGTCCGCCCGATCCTCGAATCATAACCTTCGCTCATGTGCGCCTGTGATTGCGCTAGGAGGTCGAGCTCCGACATGAGGTAACCGAAATTGATTCATTCTGGACTATCCGCACCCCTAAAAAACTTGCCCATCGGTACGCACCCAACAATTTCGATTCTTCGGGTAACCGTATGGGTCAGGGGGACCAGGAATGAATGTGAATTGTTTTTATAGAGCCAGGAGTCTCTCTCTCGGCTCAGCAGACTCCTTGTTTGTGGCGATATTGTCAGCGGTTATCCGCCTACGCGTCGCGCTCTGATGGAGTTTCAAGGGGCGCCGGACTAAGGGCAGTCGAGAGTTGCGACCTCCCAGTGCGGCGTCCTGGCGGATTCTCATCATCATGTCGAAGAGGCGTTTCCGGGTTTTGCGGTTAGTCCAGCGAGACTATGCTTAGCGTGACATTGTACACTAGTTTGTTGTTCCCGATAGAGCGGAGCCGGGCGAGTACAGGAGAGGGATATCAGGGAACGTTGCTCCCCGTCGGGAATGGAATCGATTGTGCGGAGAGGAGCTGCGAAATTTTACTCCGCTCCTCCGGATGAAAGCCAAGGTCAGCCGCCCCAGACCTTCTCGGAATCGGTGGCCTCCCCCTCCGAATAGAGGATTTCGTCATGTGTTGTGTGATGTCACGTGTCTTTGGCTCCGCGTATGACCCCGATGTCTCCGGACAGTGCCGGTCGTCCAATCTGTGTATGATATACTGACAGAGGATGGAATCAATGATACCCACGATCATGATCCTCTACGGGGTCATTCGGCATCGGAGTGAGTGTGCTCGTGAGCCTAATCGATCTGACTCTACCCGCGAAAACCTTCCGCAACGGAGCTGCGTTCGGCGATACCTAGAGATTCATCGACTCGACCCTCATCCCACATATTGCTCAACCGGTCCATCGAGTGTAAGCTCGCTTAGATCCGTTGCGTCATCTGTAATGTCAAAATCGGAATGATTCGTGATGGTTGGCAATCTGAGTAATTCTTCACGCATGAATAATAATCGAAACCTCCGGGTATCTGGTCCGTAACCCGATGGGATCTGATCCGAGATTCATTTGCACATGGGGTTCAGGAGTCTTCCCGAGGCTCCCGGAATCTTGATCTTGCGGAGATCGCACTCAAAGGAAAACCCCGCTCTATCCTAACATTGGGGAAGGGGGATATTAGAGGGGCAGCCTATAATATACGAGCAGCCTCTACCAAACAGGCAGGTTTTGAAGGCTCGAAACATAGACGAGCATGCTTCTCGATTAGAATATTCACGGTACGTACGAGAGAGTCGAGGGACATGACGGCTCAATGGGTCTCTTATTACTTATAACAAGTATTGTATTCGGTAAAAAAAATCCCGAGAGCTGCTCTCGCTTCGACTCAAGTGTCGTCAGAGAGAAGGGAAATATTCTTCCCAGCCCCTGAGCGACGTTAATGAGCGGAATGGAAGGGATTCTCAGTGATCGATGTATGACATTATATACCCCGCGTGCCGATAGGCGTATCATTGTGCGATCGTGAGCACTATCGATGCGGTCCAGGAAATCTATTCCAGTGACGATTGATGAGCAACTCATGCTGACTCGCCTGGTCGGCTGATATCGAAGAGTCTAATCTTATCCGTAGGATGTCGTTTTTTTGTTTCAGGCCGGTGTCTACCATTCTGACAGGAGGTCAAAGCCCTCCGGGTCAGTGGGACGACTTCGACCTTTTCTGCCAATCTCCGTATATCCTTTCGACGCCCCCCGGTCTTCACCAACATCCACTCGTGCCTCCGAAAAACCTCCATGGCCATCCTCTCGATCCTCAGATTCAGGAGACCAGTCTGGGAGGAGGTCCTCTTAACTCAGCGTCGGCCATTCCCAGGTACGCAGATATGCTCACAATTGGAATATCGTTCCGAGACAGTTCGCACTCGCCCTCAAAACCCGGGACCAGATGATGCCCCTCCGTATGTTCTCGTATCGATTCGGCCACGCAATGGCACATGCGACATAGGTACTATCGATGTGGGGTGATCGGATCACCATTGTTGTCATTGATTTCACGCGAGTCCCTGCTGCCCGTCGGTCTTTTTGTTGCCCGTTCCCGCACTTGCGGTGCTGGTGGAGGCGGCCGTGGCCCAAAAGTCGGCCACGCCGATTGTGCTGCGGAAGCCCAGTGACGACAAGTGCCCATTGTGTCAGAGCAGTGGCGTCTTTGTGCCAACTCAACTCCCTGTTCTCGACTGCTCTTCTTCGACGCACTCCGATCCTCCTCCCCTCCCACTGCGTTTCGCTCTTCCCCTCCGATCCTCGCTGGCGGCTCACTCAATCCCAAGCAGATCTAACTTGAAAAATCCTGTTGCAGTAGTTACGGCCCTCGGTTGGCAGGAGGCCAAGCGGCCGCTTTCCGACTTCAGCGAGGCGGCAGTAGCGAAGAAGACAAGCCCAGACTCAGATCCAACTCGTATTATTCCATTCCCGTAGTGGAGCACAGCGGGACGCTGACCAACGCCTACGGTACGTATTACCGTCGTCCGCATCAGAAGTCAATCAACGAGAGAAATATTGACCCGGGAGAGCTGACACGGAAAGTCCCCAGGGATCCAATCGTTCGCTGTGGTCGCCGTTCTCCTCCTTCCTTCCTGTTTGTTGTTGTTGTTGTTTCTGCTCCCGACGAAGCCTCTCTTCGCCCTCTCGCATCAGTCCTCCATTCCGAGAGCAGGTCCGCGGCGGGGTGTTGCATCGGACAGCTCACGCTGCCTACGCCGCCCTACGAGAGAACAGATCCACCCGAAACCGCTCGTGAGAATCCTAACTCTGCGAGAGCGAAAGTGGGAAATGAGAACAGACAGCGGCCGCTGATTCAAGCCGGGATGAAGCGGAGTACTCTGCGGTCGGTCCTCTCTAAGAGGGCTCGTTCCGTGTGACAATCCGAAGAGCTCGCTTCGCAGTCCGTGCGATGTTTGCTCAATGCTTGCTCCGTTGACGAAAGTTGTTCGGACAAACCGCGGCGCAAAGAGGGTCACGTCCAGCGACATTGTTTTCTCTCGCTGGAGAGCGAAGCAAAAGCACTGACTAGAGCCGGCGTCAGACCGTCCTTTGTACCCAGTTAAGCCTCTGCAGCCACCAAGAAAACACCTGAGTGACGAGTCTAAGCTCCGATAATCCCGTCTTCCTCGTTCTCTTTGGATTGTGGGACCTTCGGAACAACACTGTTCCAATGGGACTCCCTCGGTACGCGGCACGATCAACCAATGCCGTTCTGATCATTTGCCGCTGATAATTTGAATAATATCCTTGCTCGTAGCGACTCTGGGCTCAGAGAGTACTCTAATTGAATTATCTCGAGGTCGAAATCAGTCGACGCGCTCCCGATAGCTCGGGGACTCCGTTTTCGCTCTGTCGCCGATGCTCGTCGCCAAACCCCGAATTGAGTGTCCTGGAACAGGACCGGGACAGCTGATCCCCTGAGAGAGACATGTGTGTCTTGTAGGTGGTGATGACTTGATCGGAAACGGCCTATTGCTCTCGTACGCTGGATCTTTTATTCCTCTCCCTTCCGTCCCGCGTGTGTCGGTCCCTTGTAACGAATGGATGTTCGCAGATTACCATCGGGCGTCGGCTGTGTCCACAGAGTCCGAGAGTTGTCTCTCGAACCGGGGGATACGTTTAGAGCAGACGAAAGGAGGACGGTCAGGAAAATGGCAGGAGTGGGAGCTGCAGGGTCTTGGACCACCACCGCCTCAAGGGAGTGTTCCGATGGGCGGTGCGAGAAGACCTCAAGACATTCGCGAACCACTCGGACCTGTCAATCGGAGCAGTGCCTATCAATATAAGGTGAGACGATCGTACTTTGAATAAATGGAGATTTTGAGTTTAATTGAATACTTGCGACAAATCAAGAGAAGGTGTTCGCCGAATGCCAGCGATATCGATCGCGTTCCGTGGGTTAGCGGCTGTTTCTCAGTTTTATGATAAGACTTCGTTGGGGCTCGCTGAGGGGAGGAACACGTCCGGTGTTCCCGGGGCGTCGGGAAAGATATAAGGATTAACCTGAACGGGAGGACTTCGTCGCGAGTTGGTTGTCACGAATACGATAAGAGAGCGTTCATCGGATTCGAGCTTCCGAACCACCCGGGAGACTTCGAAGCAGCTTGGCGGAATGTTTTCCCATCTTAATTTCCTTAATTTCATATTCTTGATTTTTCTCCGGGACGAGTTTTCATCGATCCCGGGATCAGATATACCTTCTCGACTCATCCACAGAGGCCGACTGATTTATTATTGTAGCACAGGGCGAGAATGAGCTCGGTACGGCGCTTTTCGGATATTGTCAAACTTCACGTGACGCAACAGATTCGAGGGCACTGAAGCCGGAGGAACACGCCGATAATAGCGAGGTCCTATCGTTTCCATTAACGGAGAATGTTGCAATGGAAAGTTTTTCCTGGTATCGAGAGAGCGCCCTCTATCTTATCGATTCTCTTTCGATTGCTCTGGCGACGGGGATGCAATCCCAAAGCGGCTGCGAGCTTTCCTGACCACTGCTAGGACGAAGTTCCCCCTTCGGGCAGATTTTCCGTAGAGGCCGTACTCTAATCGACCTTAACGGTATAGATGTCGTGCAAAATCTCAACGAAGGTCATTTCCGGTCTCATTACCCTGCCGTAACGTAGTCCTCTCCGGCTCCTACGTCGGCGCGCCCTGACAAGGACGTCAGGGCGTCGTCCGCGCCTACCATCGTCGTGATCGTTGATATCAAGTGCTCCGGTGGAAACGAGCGTCTGGGACCGGAAACGGTGGAGCTTCTGCGCCGTTGGCGGCAGACGCGGGGAGCTATATGGAATCGTTCACGCAACGTTCCGCAACAGGCCTTTTTGTGCGCTTCGAGACAGATCGTTTGGAATCCTTCCAAACAAAAACGGAGAAAGTGCTGTGGCACGGCTCGCAACAAGAGTTCGCCGCCACATAAACGGAGATGGAATAGCGAACTGTGGCGTCCGAACGATGAGCTCATCAAAGTGATGAACGACGCGGTGGCGCTGCTCATGGCATACATGAATCAGGAAAATAAGAATTTCCATCTTTCAGGACGCTCAAGGTCCTATGAACGCGAAACAACGTGGCGCTGAAAATCTTGATGGGGCAAAATGTCAACTGTCGGCGAATCCTGTCGACGTTTTAACGGTTTCGGCGCGGATGATTCACAGGATTCTGCCTTCAGGAATTGCTCAACTAAAGGTACGTACCGTGCGCGGGACGTGGCGCGGATCTCGAACGCTAATCGTCTCCTCGAAGAGGAGCGGGGCTGATTTGCCGAAATTAATGATAATGACGATCATGCTGCGAACGATGCTGGTGATGAGCTTGCTGGAACGACGACGCTGGTTTTGCGGCGAACGATGACGGGACAAAAATGATCCCATCGTCGACTCCATTCGGTACATTTTCTGTGTACGGGGAAAATCGCTCCGCGCGGAATTTCAGGCCTAATGGTTCAAATTGCTCAAGCGCGGCCGTCGTCCTTGAGCGACGCGTGATGTTAGGCTAGTTCCTCGGTTAGAGGGAGTTCCTCCGTGCTTTCTGATCGAGCCATAGACTTCGTATGTCGCTGCTATCCCACAAAGGGAAAAGAAGAAAAGAATGAAACGATCTCGGTGCGAGGGGAACGGAGGTCACAGACGGCTCCAGAGTCCAGAGGGATGTCGACGCACTCGGAGGGGAGCGAGATAGTTAGAAACAGCTGACGGAGCTCCGCTCTTGACGCGATCGGGGCGAATAGATTCGTCTTAGTTGTTAAGCCTAATTCCCTCTTCTTCTGACCAACTGTTTCTTCTCGCTTCTATTCGCTTCTCTGAACTCCATTTTCTCTTTTGGTTCACGAGCGCTGCCGAGCAATCATCTCTGTCTGGATCCACTTCCCGTCGTGCGCGACTAGATCCCCGGGTTCCCGGAACCTTTTTTTGCGGTGGGAATTGTTACGCTCTGTGATGGCTACTACCCGCTAGATGTTCATCCGTCAGTTGCGGTAGCATATTCGCGACGAAGCGAACATAGCTGTCGCGGAGAAGAGGCTCGGAATTATTCTACATACGGGAAGCGCCTGAGCCAACACGGTGTTGGATATCGGTGCTCCTTTTCCCATCTATCGGATCTCGGGTCCTCATCCTTTTTCCATAAGAGCTGCCTCCTCCGCTCTCGGGCTCAGTAATTTCATCTCTCTTGATTCGGCGGGAAGCCGTCCCAATATGTCACGCATGATGTTCCGGCACGCTGCTTATGCCCGATATCGTCGTACGGAATCACGGCTTCGATTTCAAATTTCGACCGAAGTTTCTCCGTGAGACGGGCGCTCCGCATAGAGCCGCGCCGCTCCGAGCGCTCGGAGCTCGCCGAAGACTGATGATGGATCGCTTGAATATTAAGGAATTCTCTCTCAGAATTGATTCCCTTGAAGATCGACCAGCCAGGACCCGATATTTTTTCCAGCCTTCCCCATCTTCCTCCGCAGATCTTTGCCAGGAAACACTGCCGATCATAAGCGATACCGTTCATTTTCAGACGGGCCAGTTCGCAAATATGTGCGGTATAGCGGTCAGCTCTATAAACATAGTTGACCGCGACACTTGTGTCGTAATGGATATGTGCGAAAGTGCGGGTTTCATGGCAAGGTGAGTCTTCTTCGATTATATCGATCTCGATTAGATTTAAGCCTCCTTACCTCGTTCTCTTACGTCGATGGAGCACCTGTTGAACAGCGGTTCATTATGATTTCCGATTGAGTGAGCACCAGTATTGAGCACTTTCTTTACGCACTATAAGCTGAGGATAGACTCGCTAAATCCGCTTTATTACTTTTGCCGGGAAGCATAAAAACTTGAGGGAGACCCTCCGCGAGCGGCCTAGACGGAGCTTTCCGATGAGGCAACCCTCGATACGTCGCTACAGCTCCATGGCGGCGATAGTAGTTGTTGTAGTGGCAGTTGATAACTCCACCCTTTCGTAGATCACACATTCATTCTAGATGCGTGCATATGACTCTCAGTCTGCCGTTCAATCTCTCTCAGTGAGGGATAGCCGCGCCTCGATTTCACCATGGCCGCTTAGAACTTCTATATCTCTCCGTCGATTTCTCTCCGGAACCGTCTCGACTACTGGTTTCCTGGACACGAGGGATTCCTCCCGGATGACCTCGTGACTTTCATTCTACGGACCTTCCCCCCCTGTCCCACATGAGTTGCTGTTCCTTTGATCCGTCGCAGACTGGTGTCAGCCCGCGTTTATCGCTACGGATGTCAATGGGATTAGGATCCATCACGCTGATCAGCGACGATGTCCGTGTCGACCTCACGACGTATTTCAGTCCCAGTTCCTGAAGGCGAAGCGGTTCGGTCACTCCTCGGTTGCTTTCTCTCCTCCGGCTCAGGCCCCTCCATCTCTTCCTTATTCCTCTCCCCTCTAGTCCCATCCGCTTCATCTCGCCCCTCCCTCGGCTTGTTTGCTCAGCGGTCCCTCAAAGAAGTCCCTCAAGTAAACAAGAGAGACGCAGACGACAGATGAAAACATCTGGAGCGTAACGGTGGTCTTTTCTGCCTAGCTAGCTCTCTGGAAGCTGCCCGGACAACGCCGTGGGTCAGCCGCCGCCGAAAGCGAGCAGGAATGAACAGAGAACATTGAGCGGGAAAGACCAAAGGAGATAGAGCAGGCGGTTGGGAAAGCCTGCCCGTACGGAATCTGACGAAGCATTCTGGCGTCTTTCTGATGCAAATTAATCCGGGGGGACTCGGTAGAATAATAGTACAACGACAGGCTCACTATCTGTTCTTATGTTTCCCTGCGAGGACTCCGCGCGTGCATACGACCGGGCCTGAGGGGAAAGGAACAGTGCGTTTGTAAGTGTCTGCTTTCAACTCGCTGTCGGCAGCGACCGACGTCGCCTTGGTTTCTGCTGTCGCTGTTATTTACATGAAGTAGAAGGAGCAAGACTCGCTGAGGCTGAGGGACTGGACCGGGTGAACGATGGAGAGAACGAGTGAATGGATGAGCGAAAGAGGAAGGGTAGATAAATGGGTAACAATGCGTACCCGCTCTCTCTTGTTCGCGTCCTGACCAAGCGCTTTCATCCCTCCTCTGGCACGTGGTCCGGAGACTCCTTCGAGTCCCGAATTCCAGACTCGCAGAAGGTGCTCCTTTGAGGTCGGAGCGCTTGATTTCGTACCGCAACTTGGTCTCTGATAGAGGAAAGGTGCTTCGTCTGTACTTCATCCACCTTATCATCCTGTTACCGACTCGAGCTCACTCAAGCCGTGTGCACGATAGTCGATTCATTGTCTCGATGTATGATACATCGTCAATCGGATTCTTATTCTAAATACTTTCGTCGTGCATATATATTTCAAATATCTTCCATCATTTTAATACATGTGTGTCTCATATATATCCTAGTAATCGATCTAGGAGGTCTAGTGAGGGAACAAGCCTAGTGCGACAAACTGAATCAACCGACTACGGCTTCTCAGCGTCGAGCACGATTTCAAAAATCGTTAGAATCTCTTCCGTTGCGCTAGTTTTCAAGTTTTGTCATCACAAATCGTTGGTGGCTGAGCTCGGGTTCTCGATCGACACTCTTCCGACACGGTTCCTTACAAAACCCACTTCCTGGACGAATTCAGCTTTTTCATTCGCATAGACTGAGACGACTTCCGGACATAAAATTGTCCGGTCTATTCGATCTTGATTGACATTCTGATCCACAATACAATAATATCGGAGGAATCCAGTTCAAGCATCGGCCTTGTCCGATCCTTGGGGACTCGGTAGTGTCAAGAATTGTCCACAGCCCTGCATTCGATCCACTCGACAAGGCGAATAATTCTCTCGAAAGACACTGAAGTCTTGTTAATCAACATTGCAGAGATCTCCCTTCCCCGGCCACCGAGTTGCTTCCACTTCCGCGTGATTGGATCTCTGTGCAACTCGCCAGGCATCAGCACACATTCGGATGGTTTAAACAATCCGGCAAGTCTCACACAGTTTCGCAAGGCCACGTCTCTACAAAGGGCCTTCTCCTCATGAACGTCGAAAGAAATAGTAAGTCGGTTTTCCATATTCACCTTCATAATGCAACATCGTCATATGGGAATCGCGATTTGGATCAGATGAGCGACTTGAGAGTCCCCGGGAGGAAGCCCGCGCTGAGGACTCTGCGCGGATGTGCCACAATCGATCAATGCAGACCAGCCCTGCATTCTGGCTGGGAAATCGCTTACCCTCGATGGTCAGAAATTCAAGACGTCCATGTCGTCAGCATGTTTTGACTCCAGAAATGGAGGGCTCGACTCCGAGAAATAAGTTTAGCGCTGAGACTGGGTGCTTAGTCGGCGCAAAGGCCCCGCCCCACAAGCCCCCGTGGTCGGGGTCGGTCCTTTGGCATCAATTTCTCTCTGTTTCTTGTTCGGCACGAACCTCTCCTCCCCCCACAGCCTCCGAAAGAGGCCGGAGGCGGTGGAATGTACGGAGTACTTCTCGTCATGGGAACGTATTCTGATTCGGAGTGTGGGAAGACAGAGACTGCTCGAGGAAGAAGAAGAGTCCGCACCACGCGAATCGAGAGCTGAAGCTCGTTCAGGTCTGGAGCGTTATGTACAGCACGTCATCTCCGCTCCGGATGAGTGCAGTCACAGGAGTCTCGCTCCGCATGCGGTTGGGGTCGAAGAACCTTTTGCTCAGGCTTCCCACCGAAAACTCCGAAACATGAGGCCATGTTCCCGGATCCGCATTGTTACCGATAAGAGTCAGCGTTTAGAAGCATCATCAGACCCTGATTCCTTCCCCAGGTCAATTCCCGTTCATGACGTACATGACTTGCCACGAGTCGGAATGTGCGCGGGTGATGCGCGAAATGGATGATCTTCACCTTTCGAGTGGCCAGGGAGCTTTCGGAGGTCTAGGAGGATACTGTGTCAATTGCAGCAGCAACACCGAGCTATCAATGTCCGCTCAGCAAACAAGAATACATCACACAGGTAAGCCCGGAAAATTGTGAGCACTCTCAGGAAGATGGGTGGTCATTCCAGAACGTTTGTCGGAGCCGGAATTATAGGCGCGCGTCCAAAGCTCCCTCCATTCAGAGAGGCTCGATAGTGAACGAGACGAAAGAAACTTCTCGATGAGAGCGTCAATATTCCGAAATGCAATGAGAGAAGCATCTGATGTCCTCGGGATCAGACTGGTCTTCGTTTCTGACGGCGGGACCATAAGAGGCTTCGATGCCCGTCTCTGAGCTTTCTTAGGCCGATCTCGGGTGAGAGGGAACATATCGATTCTCCAGCTCAGTGGTGCTGCTTGATCGATTCGGACTTCGGCGACGATCCTCAATCCGACCCGAGAATCAGAAACTGACCGATTGACCCACACCCCGACCCGCATCGCTCGCGAACCGGATTACCAACGTTGGATTCAAGTTCTGCCGAGAAAACACTTCCGACACGGCAGTTCGCCCACTCATAAGACACTCTCCTCTCCGAGATTTTTCAGAGATGAATATTCCTCCCCGATTTGTTGACTGAGTCTCACGATGGGATAGGGCGTGGGATTCAGGAGTTCTTTCCTTCCCAGCTTCTCCACCGGGATTTAGCGAGACCTCCGAGATGATTATAGGAATGGTATTCATTGACCCGTCCTCGATGTCTTTATGACAAATCAGGACGCTCTTCTCCCCCGAGACGGATTCTTCGCGGATCTCGGAGTCAACTTCAATCGTTCAGTAGCCTCTTCGTCCTCTGAAGAGTAAAGGGAATCGGAGCGCTGGAGATGCCGAGCTTTCCTCTCGACTGACCTGAACTTTCATACTCTCAGTCAGCTTGGAACTGCGTCGTTTATGTCTTCAGAGCATGAGCGTCCTGATTGTTCGCCGGAAGGCTTCATATCGGGAGGTTGTGAGATGCATTGGATCCCTCGGCACTCCAAACTTGCATTTGTGAATCCGAGGGTCGAACGTCTGTATGTCGCCTCTGGAACAATTTCCAGCCGAATCATACACATATCTGGGAATTACGATGCGAATAATAATTGTATTGTGAGAGGTCCTGGGCCAGTCTGCACCTTGTTCTCTACTGGAAGTCATACGGAGAATTATTTCTGATATCGAACGCTCCACCCGTGCACTGTGAATAGGCGGGTGAATTGGTTTATTGATTATGCTCAGGAGTCCTCATTGTTGCGTACTCGGTTCACGCTCAGTAAGGCTGCCCGGACCTTGACGGACATATTCGATCACTGATCAAGGCTGTCAAACATGGAGCGTTCGATACTCCGGCAATCACCTCCTGTTTTGCGACCGATCCTGAAGCCCGAAAATTCGAGATAATGCGCATAGACTCAGGAAGGCTCTTCAAGCAAGGAGACATGGCCTAGAGGGGGAGAGTCGGGCAGAGGGAGGGTAAAACTCGGGGCAAAAACAAGCTCAAAAACTCGGGTTTAGTAAGGCCAGCGCCAAGGAAAGTCCCACTCCCACCAGCTTGGATAAAAGCGGTCGATGGAGATGAGCAGAAGGTAGGAATCTAGGGGCAAGTCTGTTTTCCATTTTCCCCTCTCTCTTTCCCTGCGAGGGACCCCTTGGGAATTCGGAATCCATTGTCGACTCGGAGCATGCCGACCGTGATCGACTGAAGTCTTTCTTTCTCTCATTCCATGACGTCTCGGCAGTGTAAGCGGAGCTGACAGTGTATGTCAACAGTTCCCGACTCGATCACTAGGCATCGAGTAAAAATCATCGCTGAAGTCTCGTCGATTTCCCTCGAGCGGACAAGCGAGCGACATTGACTTTCTCTGCGCTTGACAGGAAGGATCGGAATTCTTTCACAGCGGACGGGACGGAGGAGCGCGAAAATCAAAATTTTCATCAAATTGAACTCAGATCGCGAGAGCAATGCACGTCAAGTTCTCGCGAACGATATCTCATTTGTCTCTCCCCTTATTTCCGCCGAATCTTCATGTCCCTGAAATGAGCCGCTCCTAGATGAGCTGCGCGATTTCGAATCAAGTAACAGGATCGCATGTGTGAGGTATTGGGCCCTCGTTCTCCATTCTGGAACGATGGGGATTTGATCCTTAATGTTTCCGCTTCTTCCAGGTGCCTACATCGAGGTAGCGAGTATAGCAAGGCGAAGAGGCGGGGGCCCGAACTTCGTGGGTGGAGGTGGCGGTTATGTGGATCCTCCGCTCATGGGTTTTGGCGGGGTTCGAGGAGAACCAAGGATGACAGAGCGTCGCATGGACGGCGCATACAGTGCCTTAGAGGACGACCATTTGGCGTCTAGTACCGGATACATCGTATCCTTCTTCAGAGTTTTCCCAGGTGAGGTCAGAGTCAAGCTTCTTCGTGAGTCTCCCCCGCGCATGATGCTGACTTATGACTCAGTCGAACTTCATGAGGTCCCGAACACCAACCTTTCAATGCCATGAGGACGGCCGTTCGCTGGCTGAGGCCATCCCATGGCACTGAAAGGGCTGCTTCAGGTTGGATGGAACCCGAGTATAGATACTCGCGGAGCCTGATATTTTCTAATCGCGAGCGCTTACAGGTGAGGATAGCGAGCGGTTAGACCGATCCTGGCCGTTATGGACTGGCGCACGTCAAATTCACAGGAGACTGCCGAAATGTGTGGGTTTGAACCGTATTTCCTTCCACAAGAAGGTTGATCCTCACAGCTCAGGTGGGTCTTACAGAAGTGCTCTTGTTCTGCATCGTCTCTATATCTAGACTTAGGATCTGTGTTGCAAAGAAGCGAGGGGAGAATCGAGCTTCCATACCATGCCCAATGATTTATTGGTTTCACGACCTCGAAAGTTGAAGACACATATTTGTATTCGGGTTATGATCAGGGGAGATATTGTTCGCCAGAGGACAGCCGCATCGGGGGAGGTCCATTAAACTAGGTAGATTTTCGGAATCGGTTGACATCATCGACGATTCTCGCTCCCTGATGTCCCAATCCAGGAGAGGAATGATCTAAAACCATATCCATCTTCGACAGGTATAACCTACGTGTTGCTCTGTGAATGTCCCCGAATCATGGATTACCTCACGGAGGCGTGTGTCCTCGTTGATCAGCTACGCGCCAGATGCTGTGGTTATACCGCTCTCTATCGGGTTGTGGATAGCTTCTGAGAATGGTGTTCCAAATTAATTCTGGTGTGATGCGTCAGAATTATGGCTTCTTTTGTAAACTCGCCGGCCTCGACTGACTGGTCTAGAAAACAGCAAGGGAGCGAAGCATCAATCAAAGAAAATTCGTTTCTACACAACACCGTTGATTCAGAAGCGAACAACAGTCTTGGATCATCTGGGAAAACGCGCACGAACGAAGTGAGAATGTCGTCTTATGGAGGAGAAGGAAATGCCAAGTGACAATTTATTGAAGAATCGAACCCCGTCTACGTCACGGTTGTGTGTCGTAGGGTCGAACGCCTAGCGATGTTGCAGAACTCGATCCGTAGCTGTAGAATCGAGCAAGGTTTCATGGTCTTTCTGGGGATCCTCTCTCGAATTCGGAAAATCTGTAATATCAATGAGGAGGCGAAAAAAAATGGCGTCGCATCAGGAGGGGGACCGAGTATTTCAAATCGGTTTTTGAATCCAAAATCGGGAATTTCAGTAGAAAAAAACTCGCGCTACCGAGAAGTATCGCGCTGGAAACGAAAACCGAGCGAATAGTCGAGATAAAGGGCGGAGAAGAGGACATTCTCTGATCACCCCCTCTTCGTGCGGTCTCGAGTGACGTCGAAGCATAGAGAGAAAAGAAAACCGAAAGAAATTGTGGAGCCATCGCGAAAGCCTCTGTGAAGATGCTTATGTCTTTAGCTAGAGTTAGAACAGAGTCGATTAGCTGTCGAATGATACCGTAGCCAACACTCGCACCCGCACGGCAGCTACAGCAAGCATCAGCGAAGCAGGTTGTCCAGAATTTCGTCAGCCTGACCCATGTTCCTATCTTCCAACACATCGATTACGACCCTGATCCATCCATTCATACGAATCATCCTAATCAACCTCGTAGGCTTGCGTTGCTGAACAGATACGACCGACCATCTAATAACTCGAGGAGATCGAGGCCGTGCCCGGATTTACTCCACACTCTCCGCCCAAAAGTTTCTTCAAACCTAGATGAACTATTAACAAATTATAGCGTTGATAGTCACAACTTCATCCGAACAATGACGACCAAACAACCTGAGTGAATGGCTCCTAGAGGAGCTCATGATGGAAGACGAGCCGAAGAAGCAATCGAGACGACCACATGTCACGATACCTTAGTAAGAGATAAGCGTCGGAGTGATATAACATATTATTCGTCACAAACGAATCTTAGGACTGAACTCGATTTTTATTGAGCTAGTCAATTGCTGAGAGAGTTTTTTCGAGAGCCGAAATGTTCCTCGAATTGTCCCGCAACGGTTCTGTATAGATCGCGCGAAAATGTGTGCTAATGAGCTACTATTGGGTGGAGGGCGGGAACAGAAGTCGATGTTCCAATAGCGATAATGTCAAGGACCGATAGGGCACTTGATGATCATGACCCGTTGGAATCCGGCTCAAGGATTTGACGTGCAGCAACAGCAGCAATTCATTGAACAAACTCTAGCCAGAGAAAACCTGAATAGACTCCGCAATACTCATGAACACGTCAGGGACCATGATCTGCTGTTCTCGTACGCTTTTGTACCATGCGTCCCGGGAGACCTGCTGTGTATCGGGGCGATCTCGATGTACAAATCTCGCGGGGAACAACTGTCAGACTGCGAGGAAATTTTGGAAATTCGAGAACTCGAGGCACAAGATGAAACTATGACTAACCTCTGTCCATCTGATGAGTCAGCAAATGGTAGTTAAGCTGATTCTCTGACAGGGGTTCTCGCGCGGGTTCTCAGTAATCGTTACAACCACTGCGAGAGACTGAACACGAGGTGCAAATGAAATTGAAGGGAGCCCTTTGGGGATCCGAATATTTGCGAAGCGTCGATTCCTTGAAGTTGCATTCCCAGAATCCAAGCAAGCCTCGAAACGCACCGACTTTGAATGCGACAGATGAATGTGTTTTCTCTTCGTCTTTATAAAGGATCAAAAAAGAAGAAAATATTTTGTAACACGCTTAGGAGGTGTAAGTTCCGACTCCCAATTTTATCTCGAGCGTAGGAGGCATTGAAATTGTCTGCTCGCTTGAGACGAGTGAAAGGGAATGTTTAGCGGGCGAGCACCGCGTTTCTACCGTCATGAAAGTTGGAGCGCAAGCAGTTCCATGTCTGTCCGCGCATCTTCAAAACGGTGTTCCCTTCATCCTTGTGAGGGGAGCTCGGCCGGGAGCTTGCATTTGAATCTTGGGGAGGGCGCGCGGACAAGTCTCCTGTTCAGACCTTCTCCATCGGCTGTTTTTATACATCCATCCTAGGTACTCCAAAATTTATCTTGCCGTGTCGTATGCGACAGTCACGTTGGAGGGATGCTGCACAGAGCCCGGCTAAAGCAAGGAAGAAATTAAGTTTGAGTCTTCGAGTAAGGCAAAATTGAGGCAAAGAGCACCGCATCGCTGTTCCCTTGGCAATGAAAGCGCGTTCCTTCGGCGGGACATGCGATCCTGGATTTCGTATGCAAGAAACTAAATGAACTGTAGGTACCTATGAAGACTTACGCTAGCGAAGATAGCTTGCTCAGACTCCCAGGGGAGAGGGCACTTGCACCGCCATGGTTCAAGATACGACATCGGCTCACCATCCGGAACATTATACCAAGGTGCTTCAATCCCCCACACTCGCATCTGAATCAATTATATTGCATCCTTTGTGAGACTTGTGCTTTATGATGATTGATGATCCATCGATTCTAGCTTGGGGATCCCGATACCATTTTATCCGCGCAGAGGCGCGCACGAAGGGGGGGGCAAGGGGGCCATGGCCCCCACCAAATTTCTTCGGTGTCAATGCTGAAGTATGGACCCCGAGGAGGCGCGCCATCATTTTTCGCCGTCTGGCCCCCTCCAAAACTCTAGTTGCCCCCCAAAGAAAATTTCTTTGCGCGTCTGTATCCGCGCGGAGTTGGATTCATTTTGCTGTTTCATCATCGGAAACTGTCATCGAACGCTCAGGCGGATTATCCCAATGATGCCCAGCATCATTGATCTGAAAGTCTGGTGAACCCTCTCCGATGCCCATGATGGAAGGAATCCATGACGAAACTCCAATCAATCTGGGAGGTATACGAGTATCGGGAAAATGATTGCCGATCGCCCGTGCACGAATCGCCATCGATACTCATTGAGCGGTGGGTGAGGGGCCTCCATGATTGATCAAGTTGGGAGCTGCCTCGGACAATTCGGAAGTCGATCATCAGTTCTCGAATCCTGGCGATGGGAATCTGACGAATGTGATGAGCGATATTCAGTCCCAACAATGATACCCTCCTTTCTTCGAAGAATGACGACATCTTCCTTCAAACCGGCGAAATTCCCAGCCACCTGGAGAAGCTCTCTCCGGGGCAGCTCCTTCTCCCGAATCGACGGCTACTTCATGGGCGGACCGGCCACGCTTGAGGTTAAACATCGATCGTCAGAGCCAGTTCCAAATTTGTGAACCTTCAAAAATAACACAGGTCTCCGAGACATCTTCCCCGTGAAGATCACGGCAGAACCAGGGCACCGAAGCTTCAGGACAAAGCTCGAGAAAATTCCATTTCATGAAAATTTTCCCTTTGAGAATCTCGTCTGGCTTTGCCCATAGCCCATTAGAACAAAGCAAGAATCCACTAGCTATGCACTTGAAGGTTTACCAGGAGCAGAAACCACTCACACTCCTACTACCAATGTTCACTTCCGGAGCTGATAATTCTATATTGATATCTAATACTTATTTAGGTGAGTCATCTATCCATACTGTGGTTGACATGATGCATAGGGCGTCGTCTTTTCCAAAATACTGACGGAATTTCTGTTCCTCCTCAACGTATGTATCTCGGACAAGGAGGAACAAAATCCATCTGCTAGGGAAACTCAGAGCGAGTTCAAAGCCTATCGAGGGTTGCTGCGTTTGACTGCGAGAATTGCCGTGAGTCAACGTTCACTGACGCGAGCGTAGCATTCTCATGAGAGAGCGTAAGACGGCAAGGAAGATGAGCATTTAATGTCTATATTTTACTCAGTGACGAACGGTCTCTTGATGAGAGTTCTGAACACACTTGATGCGAATGCTATAGAATCTGTCATTGATTCCCAAACGAGAAAACAATATGATTTATAATCACGGACATGTCTACGAGCCGGAGAGACGGTTAGTGTTTCGCGTCCCGCTGTGGAGCTGGGGGAATACTCTAAACGTTGGTGCGAGAAACGGAGTACATATATAAATATATACATACATATTATGATTCTTACAGTGAGTTCGATACAAGATATAAGTGACCGAATTGGTAAACAGACTCGTCGACCAGAAATCATTTTAACCTAAATAAATGTTGGAATGTGTTCATTGAGACCGTCTCTTTCATACCGGGCGAAAAGAATGACGGGATAGATTCCGCCGCCTATGGGCAGACCCTGGATCGACGGGACGTGGCGTCCCTCGGCGAAATGACAGGAGAAGTATTCCGCTCGAAATTCGTGAATGATAGCGCTCGAGCCATGCCAGGAGAACTGATCCCTCAGATTGTTGCTACTTAAAGGAATACCCGATCAGGTATCACTTCCAGAAACGGATATAAGAGTCCGATGTGAGGAGATTGATCGAGGCCTGCAAATTGGGATGTCGGGAATCCTCCGATAGATTTTGCCCCTCTCCTCCAATCGAGCAGCGCCCCTCCTCCTATTGATAATTGAGGAGTCAAAGCGATTCCCACGGAGAGCTCAGAGGCCGGCTTTCAGTGATCCGATAGTCCCCATAATATGAACGTGTAATACTTATGAGGATTGACCAAAGATTCGGGGAGCAAATGTCAGCCAATGAGGCCAAGGTTCGAGCCAGCGTCTTCTCCCAGCCACTCGAATTCTTGCGCGACCTTTCCTCCAGAGCTCTGATCTGGGGGAGTTTCTTCCGAGGTCGGAGCGATGAACGACCCTCCGGAACAAGCGAATCGCAATGAGTCATCGTTTTGCGTAGTTTTCACGGTGTGATTTCCCCTCGCAT